TAGCTGAATAAAGCCATTGCAGCCAAAACCATAGTCTCCCTAATAAGACAATGTTCAAATATAGTGTCTGATTGGAAAAAAATAATCTCATGACAACTATAAATTTGGTATTGCTTATAAACACAAAAATGTTATGAAGAAAATATTGAAGAATAATTTCCAAACAGCTAAAAATCTCCATCCTTGATTTTTATAATTATTTTGAGTTTTAAATATAAACTAAAATTCCGAAACTTACATAACATCAGAAATAGGACAACTTGGAAGTTGCTGTGATTCCTGGTAAGGATGGCCATAACGGTGATAGTGATGTGGAACATGACTAAACCTATTAACCAAGGGTCTCGCCATTCAATCTGAAACATTAAAGCTTGACTTAAAAAATACTAAGAGCAATGTACAATTAAAATTTATATTTTTTTAAATGATAAATTGTTCAATTTTTTCCTAATGTGTTAATTTTTAAAATATCATAAACACTACAAACTACAAATACTTAAACAGACCTCGGTATGGATTATAAACATAAATGTGATGTGGAAAGCGAAAAGGGACCTCTTGTCGGCGATGCAAAATTTTCAGTACGGCCGATATAGGCCTAAGTAATTAAGTAAATAGGAAAACCCTATTTTTACCCCATAAAACCCCCCGTAAACTCCCGTTCCCATGGTCCGATCATGCTGGATCGCGAACTCATTCGAATAAACGTAGGTTTACACGTTTGTACCAAATTTCATCAAAATCGGATCATTTTTGCTCGAGTTATCGTGTTGACGGACACATATATATATATGAATTTGAACAGATGGTGTTTTTGGCCTCTGGGGACCTAAAAACGAAAAAAAAATCGGTCCCGCGTCCAGGTCTTACCATGAGTACTACGGTAATAGCTTATTCCCTATATGGGAAATTCGCTAAAAATGGCAGGTGCATGGGACTTGCACCAAATGATTCAGAATTAAATAAGGAATTCAAATATGTATATAACTCAAAATCGAACATTCCCGACAAGAGGTCCTTATTCGCTTTCCACATCACAAATGATGTTACTGGCCCAAAAATAAAGATTATTTAACATTGCTAAAATGGAATTGTCAAAATCATATGTTAATGATATTAGTACCCTATAGGATTCGGGCCAGCAACTAGGGGGACCCGTGAGCCTTGACCGGGATTCTCGATCATGGAAAACGATGATGACGCCTCGGGGCCTCGGGAGATACCTTGTCAAGTTTAATGCAAAAATGCAAGTTTAGTTGGTAATACATGTGAACATGTTTTTAAAGATTATCGGGTGAGGGGGCAAACAAACTTGCGAGGGGGGGGGGCAGGGGCTATAGGCTACCAGTTCTGTTCAAGTATTCCATATATTAATAAGCTACCAACCATATATTAATTTCTTCTAAAACTATCCCATTGGTATGAAGTAGGGATGAGCATCGACAGGTCAACCATCAATGTACCAATACGTTGTGAAAACATCAATGTTTTCAGGAAGAAAACGTCAGATCTGTCTTAATTAATTGATTATATTATAAATTAGTGTATATACTTAAATTGTTTGAATTCAAATTTGCCATTATTTATGTTTTATTTTTATTCATAGCATAATTTATTATTTGTTTTTGTTCTCCAGTACCTCTTTTAGATTGTTATAGTTTCTCAACACGAGAAAATGAGGAACCTAACTAGTAACTATTTAGTCTCAATTTGTATTGGTTTTAACTATGTCTTGTGTTCTATCTAATGTAGCCTATATTATTTGTCAATTGTTATTTTGTTGTATTGTTGAATCAATAAAGATATTTTGAAATGAATTGAATTAGCCTATACTGGAGAATAAATTTAATAATGAGAGAGATCCAGCAAAAGACTCTTAGTTCATGCTCCGGGCAGCCAGGCTGCAAACGTAGTGAGGAGGCACTCAGATAAACCATAGGCTACACATCCCCTATGAAAAAAAATAAAAAGCTTGAAGATAAATTATAATATTTATGGCGAAACTTTAATATATCTGACTTCCGACTACATTGTCCTTTAATATTGAACATAAAAGTATCAAATTAATCAATAGGGCCCTACCTTAGCAAAACAACATACCAAACTTTGTATACTAGGCTACTGATTGAAACAATCGATAATGGAGCATGTGTCAAGTTTTGTCTAACTCATCACAACAGGAGATGATAATGATTTAAAGCAAAATGGCAAAAATAGGTCCAAAGTTTTTACTTGGTTTAAAATCATTGAGGATTAAGGCCTACTTAGACCTAAGATTGAGATAAGAATAGCCTATGATCAAAGGATATGACAAGGATATTGACAAATCGTCATTGCAGCCTAGGGTACAAGATTGTTAATGTTTTAAAAACGTATTATTAAATCATAAATCAAAGTTACTATTTAACATTGTGTATTGTTTGTATATTAATGACGACTGTATAGTTAGGTATCGATCCCTATATTATTTTGACACAAATAACTTACATTAACTTACACAAATAACCCTCAAATACTTCTTAAAGCCCAGATTTTATTCAACATAGGCCCTACCAACCCCAAATGAACATAGGACTTATGAAATTGTATTTTTACAACTAATTTAACCTAGCCTAATTTAGCCTTTTGAATTCAACAATTATTTTGTTACAAAGCAATTTATAATCAAAAAAATCCTAAGTTAAAATTCTTACACTTTGCAGGAATAACAGCAGGCTGAATTCAGGTAAAACATTTTGTTTTGATTCTTCCATCGTAGTTAGATGACTTCGATGAGTTTGACTACATTGACTTGACACTTTACATAAATATTCACAACCATAAGAATCATTCAACCATTAGCTGTCACGCCTCCACGGCTGGGTCTGATTTCGGCTGGTCTCTGGTTAACAAAAAAAATTCAGAAACAAAGACAAAGACCTCAGCAGTCCAGTAGCTCTGTCTAAACACAGGTCAAAGAAGAGACCAAAACCGATGAACAAACCTCAGATGCACGACCACTTTTAACTATAGACCGTGGCCATGGTGGAAGGAAAATAATGTGACTTGGTTGAATTTGTTACGTCGCAAGTAGAGTTGTTTAGTGACAGACGTCCCCTTAAGAAAGCTTCCCGTCTCACGGCCGCGGGCTGGAGTTAAAGGTGGCCGTGCTCAGATCTCATATAATTTAATACCTTTAGTCTTCTGTCAGTAGTGTTGTTTAACACTGTCTACCATATTAACAGTAATTAGTACATAAATGAAGTGTCTATTTTCGATATAAAAAATACCACAACTAGGCCTATATAATTAGAGTTACTGTAGTATCCATAACTGCCAAACAAGAAATGGAGGTACATTCGATTTAGATAGAGTAAGGCTGTCAAGAACTCAAAATTATCATACGTACTTGGGTCTTAAAATATTTAATAATCAGCTTCCTGTTGATTGATTTCAGCTCTTTGCCTTTAAATGTATTTTCTAACAAACTGTAGTGGCTTAAAATCGATCCAATGTACGAGTACGATATATATTTTTTTTTTTTTGTTAAATTGATAAACAATGATCTAGATTTTAAAAATTAGCCTTTGCATATATTCTTTTTGACGAAATCCATTGTAATTGTGTACATTACTGAACGATGAATTAATTGTATAATCGGTCGTAGCTTATAGGAGGTGCACGAATGGTGCTAAACATCATTGCGACGTTGCCAATTCTACCGCGGCGGCCTTTGAAGTGGTATTATCCGTTACGTGCCCACAACTCCATAAAACTTCTTAATATGAAAATTAAAGTGTAAAAAACGTAGCTTTCAATGACAGAGTACTTTGTGAAATGGAATCATTTCCATGCATTTACGAAGGCATTGTTTACGGTCTTATCTTATCTGTGAAGTTTGGTTGGAACAGTGTAATCTTAACCCAACCAACCAAAAACTTCTCGAAGCTTAAAATTTGCAGTAGTTATCCTACTATTTTGTGTGTATTCTCCAAATCTAGAAAGCGTTTTATCAAAAGCATTTTCTGAATTTTATATTTTTCATTATTTATTACCTATAAAAGGTTTCAATAAGTTATAGACGTGTAATTGGGGAAAAAATAGAGTTGCTGGCACGTAATGGATTTTGACCCTTTCATCAATATCTTTAATTGTACATTGAATTGAGTCAACATTCTTAACCTAGTGAATTAACATCACTGTAATTAGTGCTGTTACAGCTGTTTTTGTTTGGAGGCTATAACTAGCCATCGATCTCTATTGTTGTAATAATTAGAGATCGATGTAACTAGCTAGCAGCTAAAGCCCCCCACACACTACCAGACCAGACCTCCAGACCAGACCGTCTGGTCTGGCGTCTGGCACTTGTCTTATCGTGTGAGGGACTGTCTGCAGACCGATTTTCTCGGACCAGACTGTCTGCGTGTCTGATGGTTGAACCCTCAGACCACAGACGGTCTGAGGTTCCCCCACCACTATTTTTGTCTGGTCTGTGAGTGTGTAGCGCTGTCTGTCAGACGGCCGACCATCGTGACAGTCTTCATCATCCATTTGTTGGAGTTCTCACCACGGTCTCTCAATTATGAATGTTGGAATGTCTGGTCTGGGAGTGTGTAGAGCCGTCCAAGACGGTCTGGTTGCAGCCAGACGGTCTGGTCTGGAGGTCTGGTCTGGTAGTGTGTGGGGGGCTTAAATGCGGTGGCAGCTTATGCGTATTTACGAATGCGAAAGCTTGGTTACTGGAACAGAAAATATTGACTCCATTTTACATGTACTGAAATACATTTTCAATTTATATTACCTACAGTTATGACCAAAGGTGGTCATAACTGTAGCCCATTAGCCCAATAAGATTAGATCGTAGCATTGACCTCTATCGTAGACACTGAGATCAAGACTCACAAGAGTGTGTTTAATCTATGCTCAAAGGAAAAGATGGCAAGAAAGTAGTGTGAATAACTAGGCATCTAATTTATTTGGCATTGGCTTGGCTTGGCACGACGAACGACAGTCAACGACGCCATCTTGTTAACCTTTAGTAAATAAATGTAATGCTTCATCATTGTTTTATATTTATTTGATCAGTTATTGTGAAGTGTGAGATTCTTTGTTGTGTTCTCAAGCTTAAAATTTGTTTCTGTGTATTTTAATATTAATTTTACATATTTAAATATACAAACTATTGTTAAGGTAGGCCTATTTGTTTCCTCGGATAGTTAGGCTAAGGCACGAGCTTCTGACATGGTAAGGTTAAGAGGTATGCCGAGACCAGGGCCACCAGGCAGAGGAATGGGGAGACCGATGCCTATGCATATGAGACCTGAACCTATCATGCCTCCATTTGGAATGCATAGAGGTAGACCATTTAGAGGACATCCAGTAAGGCCAGGTCCACCTAGATTGCCACCTCCCAGAATGGGTCCAGCTCCACCACCTCCACCTGGCCTAGGCCTGCCACCTCCACTAGGCCTACCTCCAAGAAGATTACCTCTACCACATCGTCCCCCTCTTCCTCCCAGAGATTTACCTCCTCCCATGGGTAGAAGACCACTCCCTCCACCTCCGATGCTTCATAGACCTGGTGTTAGAATGCCACCTTTGCCAATGGCCCCCATGCCACCACTCAGAAGACCTCCACCAATGCATCCAGGCCAGCCCTTTGTTAGAGGGAGAGGAGGTGTTGCGAGAAGAGGAGTGAAGAGGCTGGGACCTACTGCCAATGGACGGGCAAAGAAGAATCCCAAACGGAAAGAGAAGACTGAGGTTAGTCTCACAATTTGAGTTACTTAAGTTAGTGTTGGTTCACTTTAACTTAGTTCTAAATTAACTTAACGAATATTAAGTCAAGCCTAGGCCTAACTTGCGTTAACTTAGCCTAAGTTACATGGATAGGCTACCTAATTATCTCCTGTGGTTGTGTTCGTACACTCAATGACCTTATAACTTAAAATAGAATCAACGTAGTGTCGTGTGATGAATCGACGTTTGCCTAATGCTTTTAGCCATCATTCCAAAATTTCAAATTTTTCTTGCATGATTCATGGACATTTTCCCAGTCAACAAAATTCTCTTAAAACTCCTGGTTTCCCAGTCAGCTGTCGGTAATTATTTATAGTAGGGCCTAGGCCTAAGTTAGTAGCCTAACTTAGATGTCCCCAAACAAATTTTTAATTTTGATGTTAAACTTTATTTTAGTTTTTTACGTCATGAATCTAAAAGTTAAGTATAACTGGAATACATAGGCCTACCAAGTTATTTTTCACAGCAATTGAATATTAACTAAGATCCTAGCTGTCGAAATGTATTTCAATGTTTAAACAAGGTGCGGTATAAGACAGGCAACATTTACTAGAGTGGAATCACAATATAAGAAGTTAATCCCCATAGTAAATTGTCTACAATGGGATTACCGTATGTAAGAAAATGGGGCTGCTGTTCTAACATAACCTAACTGAACCAAACTTCTAGAACGTCAGCAAACTCCTTTTGATGTCAGAAAAGGCATGTCAGGGTGGTCGGCCGGGCTTTAAGTTATGTGAATTTGTGACTGTATTTATTCATTGAAGGTAGGTTGGATTAGGTACCGGTAAGGTAGAGTTTAAGTTTAGGTTATAATGAATCAAGTTGTTGGTTTAAGCTACCTAAAGACTGTTTTTATACAATTAAAACCCATAAAAACACTCCAAAACACTATTATGAATGCTATTTTGAAGGGTTTTTTCAGGGTTTTAATTGTATAAAAACAGTCTTTAGGTAGCTTAAACCAACAACTTGATTCATTATAACCTAAACCCTACTCTTCCTAATCCAACCTAACTTCAAAACACTTAATACAGCCCCCAAATACGTTTAACAGCTCGACCCACCACCTTAACATTCCTAAATAAGAACTAAGTTTAAGTTATACATGGAATTAGTCTCAGATCATTCCTCTTGTAAATCTTATCCTTGCTACTTTGTTTATACAAAAGTTGTATTTTTAAACAGTGATATATTCAATAGTATTCATTTGTTGTGACAAATAATGGTATATTTGGATTCAGGAGGTAAAAAAACTTAAAAAAGTATCGAAATAGAAAATTCCTTTGGAGGCACCTCATACTAAATAATTGCCCAGTTGTCAAGTACCGGTAATACAGGCTAGACTTTATGTTACGGTACCGGTACTTAGTATTTTCCTAAAACACACACTTAAAAAAGGCCTTTAATTTAAATTACGGTAGCCTAGTTTAATTTTATGTTTAGGCTATTTTAGTTCAGTGACTTAACTTAATTTCCCTCTTCCAAAATATGGTTTGGACAAGGTGGCTTAACTTAATGTTGATTTATTGGAATTTTCACATCCATTTGGATAAGTTAAGCTGGACGAAGTTAAGTAACTTAAATTAGTGCAGATTGGCAAGGTTTGGATTGGTGGTACCATGGAAATGGAATTAATTTCATCCATAGCCTAACTTATTGTGTGACCAGAAGTTGCTGGTATAGGGTCTAAGGTGTTCAAAACTCACCGCTTAAGTTATGACAATGAATTAGGGCATAAGTTTATTGATTTTTAGATTAACAACTGGTTTGACGGAGGGGCATCATCAGAACCTACGGCTTCAATGTTAAAACATAGGGGAATTTTCATCAAATAATGTTGACAAGCTTTTTGCCTCTATTATGGCAATGAATGGATACTGCCTTTGTGTATTTTAGGTATGGAAAATCATACAGTCAAAGAAAGTTTTTGAACCCCATTTACCTTTTTTCTATCATTTAAATCCCCTCGGTCACCTCATTTGCTGGTCGTAAATTAGGCTATTTCTTTTTATGTTTACAAAAGTAAGCCCAACAACCCAAGCTCGAAGAGTATACAATTTGAATGAGTAATCTCGAAAGTTGAAAAGCAATGACAAAATCTTGTTAAGAGGGTTCCACCCGCCGGCTGTTTACCACGTAAGCATGGTCCTACAAAAAAAACCTCCTGGCATTATTAAAGTGTCAATCAAGTTGAAATACAGTGTATAATATTCACAAAGGAACTATGCACTGGTTGAACTAAAACTTCATAATTGTTTCTTTAAGTATGGTATTTTAAGTTTAATTAATCATTCTGAAAATCTGTAGGCTAAATTAGTCTTTTCCATATGCAATTGTTGAATTTTAACTTCTAAATAATAGTTGAAAATTATTTTTACTCCACCCACTGCAAGCTCTGATAGGCTATGTTATGAGCACAACAAGCACACAATCATTGGAAACAAATTAGTTAAATTTAGAATGTTGAGAGCTTGTACCGTAGAGGCATATTCAGGAACAGTAGCATGTTTAGCCGCCATCTTGAATTGACTGAGTAGAACCCTCTTAAACTCTTTAAAAACCAATATTTTGTCATATCCAAGCCTAATCCTGTACTGAAAAATAGTAGACTATTTCAAAGCAATTTGTCAGCAGTTACAACATTGTCTATGATCCTCGTAGACACCTTAATGCACATTTAATAATCATAATAATCGGTCTAGTAAAAGGCAGTTTAGTTTTCGTATATGGTCCTAACGTTTGGATCTTGAGTTTTTTTATTAGTCCATTAATAATTTAGGAAATGGAGCTGAATAAACCGTGGGTAACGGAAGCATTGAAAGTCGAAATACAAAAGAAATATCAGCTGTTAGAAACTGCTAAAGAAAAGAAAACCGAAAGTGATTGGCAAGCTTACAAAGATCAAAGAATACTTGTTGGTAAAATGACTAACACGGCCAAGTTGGAGTATGTGGGATCTCATCCTGAAGCTGTAAGTATTGCCCGCTATTTTTAATGTGGTATGATATTAGTTACCTAGGCCTATGTATTGAAAATATACACCTTCGTTTAGCTTTACGAGTCCACTATGTTTGCTTTTGAATTTTTTCACTTTGAGTAGGAGTGCTGTGTTATTGTATTTACAGGGTTTCTACCAGTCACGGAAATCATTAAAGTCTCTGATTTACTAAGGGGTCACCGATGTCGTGAAAAAGTAACGGATTTACATTTTAAGGTCCTATTAGTCACAGAAAAAATCAAACCTAAAAAAAAAAAGCTCTCGGACCCTGCCTTTTTTGCACGATTCTGAAAGAATGCAGACTGTGATTTAATTCAGTGCTGGTTCCATTCTTTGTGTGATTGTTACTGGAGTAAGATGTAATTTTTCATTGGAATTAATATAGCTAACTAAATAAAAGGTTGACGTTAGATACTAATAAGACAACGGGTTTACACCATTCCCTTAACTAAACAATTTTTAAATGCTAATGGCGTGGACACAAAATAAATTAGGCTAAATAATTAATTGCAGAATTAGTGAGAGAGCGGACATATTTTGAGAGCAGGCAATCGTTAGCTCAGGTCTTGCGTTTTTACTTTATATCCTCGCCTAATGTCACTGATATTTAGTTTCATCAACTGGTAACTTAAATTTTTTTCAGGCAGCCTGTTTTGCTTGATGTTAACTTTTGACAAGCTGTTGTTGTTTTTTCTCTAACAAACATTTAGCAACTTGAACTGTTATTTTAAATTATGTTTTGCTTCGCTAATATTCAACTTTGGTTTTGCCACTGATTAACCAATACATATAGGTAAGCCTACCCAAAACTATAAATAATATAAATAAATAAACTTGAATTTATTGTAATCTGATGAAATGGTAACTCAATATTAATTTGTTTTTTTGAGTAGAGCAAGCAAAGCTCTTATACCACACTCCTGGTTTTGTTTTCCACATACTCCTCCTGAACGGCTGAAGTGATCCATTCAAAATTTACGTCAGCCGTAGTAAACAACGACGAGAAGGTATAAATCTGAAATGGTACAAATCAGACTACAGGGGATTTTCCCTACGTAAATTTTAACCTTTTAGAAATTGAACACAGGCCTTATGGGTAAATTGGTTGCCATGACAGCTTTTGCAATATAACAATAAAACCGTAATTACAAGAGTCGTAACAAACTTCAAGCAATTTAAACAAGAACATTACAAATACAGAACAAAAGTAAAAAACGATTGGATCAATGCCGTTGGCGTTGAACACAATCGCACAATCCACTACAGAAAAACCTTTAAATGAAAAACTATATAGAGCCTATGCACCATTGACTTACTGCAAATATCCCATTTATATGAAACACGTATACCATTGACTTTGGAAACTGCAAGTAGAAATCCCAATTACGTCAACCAGATGTACCATTGTCTTTATATACTGCAAGGAGACATCCCATTCACTTAACCAGATGTGCCGATTGACTTTAGATATTGCAAGTAGACATCCTTTTAGCGAATTTCCCATATAGGGAATAAGCTATTACCGTAGTCTCATGGTAAGGGTGGACCCGGGACCGATTTACTTTTTTGTTTTGAGGTCCCCAGGGGCCAAAAACACCATCCGTTCAAATTCATATATATATTGGCCATATTTATATATATATATATGTGTGTGTGTCCGTTAGCTTGATAACGCGAACAAAAATCATCCGATTTTGTTTTAATTTGGTATAAACGTGTAAACAGGGTGTCTAGTAGTCGGGAAAATTGGGAAAGTCGGGAATTATTATTGAATTTTAAAATGGTCTTGAAAAGTCGGGATTTAGTCTTAAAATTTGATTTCAAAGTCGGGAATTGATTTTGCCGCGATCGTCGTCTTGCGTTTAAGTAACCGCGAAAACCAATGATGATATCTGCTCGGCCGCGGGAAATGTTCATGATTTTGTCGCTATCGCGGACGACGACGATGACGTTTCCGTGACCG